TGTGGGAACATACATGATGACTACATGAACATGTGTGGGAACATACACGATGACAGAGTCCCTCCCCAACCTGAAGGACAAGTTCAGCTTCAGGATTATTTGTCACTTTCCTGACAGTTCTTTGAACTTAATAGATGAATCATTACTTCTGACTTTGTTGTAAAACTTTCCCTCCATTTCACAGAAAGCAGCGGCTCGAAGCACTGTTGGCTTCTGGGAAGTGAACAGATGGCTTCTGGGTAACGTAGTGCTTTTGACTGACAAAACAGTGTAGGCTTATAAGCTATGTTTACATGCGCAACATTTTTTGACCAGACTGAAATGTTTTCAGATTAAATAATTCAAATGTATTGTTTACATGGGCACAATCTGTTCATGACAAGTGTTTACCTGCAGCGGGCTTTGTTCTGAACAGCAGTACTGACATGTGCAGAGCGGTAAACTCTCCTTAAAAAAAAGCACAGAAGAAGAAGTTCTACTTCTGGTTTACTTCCAGGATGAACGTAAACAAACCTGAGCACCAAAATGGACCCTGGACAGGTTTTAATGAGGGTGGAGACGTTGCTGCACTCCCTGACTGAGCTACAGGTGATACACATCATTTTGAGCTCTTTCAAAGTTTCTAGTAGAAATGTGTCTCTCACAGACCAGTTTTACTTCCCCGACATGCTAATATTATTAGCATTAGCAAGGCGGAAATGACAAAGCCGCACATGCGCAGTCAGGTCAGTTTTTTACGATCAGATAAAAACGAACAGATCAAGTGTTTACATGCGCACCAATCGGGTTACGGATCGGCGTAAACCACCCGTTTCGTTCTGATCACAAATTATAACGGATCGCGCCTAATACACAAAAAATAACCCGAACGGAGTGTTTACATGACGCGTTTTTATTCCGACCGGCCATTTGATCCGGTTACTTATGTCCATGTAAACATACCTATTGAAAGAAAACTACAAAATGGTGGCACTTTCATTTTTAGTCGTGTACAATCTTACAATACTTTGTAGAGTACTTTGAAAAGCTGCGAAAGAGCGAGTCTGCAAAAGTCAAACCACGAAGTAGCGCGGGACTACTGTAATGTCTCAAAGAATCTTTGTGCTGTTACTGTGTTCTGTAAATCCCCTTTTTTCTTAGTAAAATAAAACTTTGGTCTGTTGTTTACAAGGATTGTATTGAATTTTCCATCTTCAATCAAGTTTCATTAACGATTTAAATCCGCCTACAAACCATCATTGACCACAGGAGCATCCTCCCTAAAGGAAATGGTTCTTGCTTGTGGCTCACCTGGTCACAGCCGGCGTTGACGAGCTCCTGCAGCATCTGTCGGTTCACCTCTCCGGCCTCCCCCGACTCGTTGGCGAAGGGCATGAGGGACCTGCGGATCTCTCGCAGAGCATTCTGGTAGTTGTTGAACTTCTGCGGTGGTCGGAGCTGCTGCTGGCGGCTGGTTGTGTCCTTCCCGCCCTTGGAGTCAGCCCCTCTGCTGCCTTCGGTCCGGGAGCTTCCTCCATGCAGGGCCTGGCTCACCAGCTTGGCCGGCTGCTTCAGGCCCTCCTTAATCTCCTGAAGCCGCTGCCGCGTGTTGCCCACGTACGGCGCAGCTGGGAAAGTCTTGGGCCTCATGGCCAGAGTGCCAACAGCAGACACCTCCTCTAAAAAGGAAGAACTGGTGCTTACTCAGCCACACCCTTACAAAGAACCCTTTTAAATGATCGGACGAATAGCTAAAGGCACAGAGTTGGAAGACCTCTGTCCCTCACTTGTTTGTCATTAATTCCTGCTGGGGAAGACACAGACGAAGTGGGATACTACAGGCATTCCATGGTGTGACTTTAAGGCTCAGGTTCCAGTTTATTCCAGGAAACGCAGCCGTTCATGTGGGTACTGCAGAGCCGAACCATGGTGATGCCAATCTGCTCCTGCGGAGAAAGAGATGCAGTCAGAACTCAGCGATCATTGTCATTATGGTCCAGCTTTTGTTTTACTCAAAAAACTAAATGAACATCTTAACCACAAAAATGTTCGTCTTTGGCTGTAAAGACGAAGCATGATGTGGAACAGAAATTATAACAAAAGATTAAAATACGAAAAGTTCTGATGGACTATCAGGTGAAAGACCTGGAATTTGAAGTATGTAGTTGTGGTCACAAAATGTCATAGCTTCTACATGGCACCAGGTTGAAACTAATATTACCTGGAAGCCAAGGAGTCGTCTTCAGTACCAGCCATGCACAAGCTCTGGTGCATACCATGTGGATAATTCAGGCCTGTCAGAGGTCATAAAACTCAACCGTAGCTAAAGTTGCACAACTGAGCTTCAGTCACTGCATACTTCTGCAACACGGTCATCAGTGAACACCCCTCTGAGAGCGCAGGGCTCCGACATGGGGTCACAACAAGTCAGCAGACCCCCCCCCCCCCACACACACACACACACACACACACATCAGCCCCTTCTGCTGACGAAACACTTCACACCACCTGACGATCTTATCTGGAGGAACATGCTCCAAGTGCTGCCACGACAGCATTACTCCTGCAGAGCAGTTGGGATGACATGTGGAAAATGTACACAAGTTCCTGCTGGGAGACGCACGTGAGGACAGAAGGAAACACAACTGGAATAACACAAAGACTATGAAAGATTTATTTCTACGTTAAAAAATCACCGGAGGATTGAAGGAGAGCAGCTGTTAAAATGATCACATGCACAGAAACGCTGATAAAACAACTGTTTGTTGTTCCCGTTTTGCTTTAATATACTTTTAGATCTATTTTTATTGAATTTTGTACATTTACTTTATTTGCATTTTTGTGAAAATAAAATGTCTGTCAAATTTTGCTTGTGTTTTTGTTACTGCTTTCACTTATAATTAAAAAACATCTGTATTATTTGTCCTTTTTATTGGTATTTTAGAATTAAATTTTTGTTTACTAATCCTGTATCTATCTTTTCTGTTTTCTCCATCCATCCATCCATCCATCCATTATCTTCCTCTTGTTCCGAAGTCGGGTCTTGGGGGCAGCAGCTTGAGCAGGGAGGTCCAGACATCTCTCTCCACAGCCTCTTCCAGCTCTTCTGGGATGACCCCAAGACGTTCCCAGACCAACCGAGATACAGTCTCTCCAGCGTGTCCTGGGTCTTCCCCAGGGTCTCTCCCAGTTGGACATGCCCAAACCAACTCAACTGGCTCCTCTCTATGTGGAGGAGTAGCAGTTCTACTATGAGTCTCTCCTGATAACTGAACTTCTCAACCTACCTCTAAGGGAGAGTCCAGCTACCCTGCAGAGGAAACTCATTTCAACCTCCTGGATGCACAATCTCATTCTTTCCATCACTACCCAGAGTTCATGACCAGAGGTGAGGGGAGGAACGTAGACCGACCGGTAAACTGAGAGCTTTGTCTTACAGCTCAGCTTCCTCTTCACCACAACGGCCCGGTACAGAGTCCACAATACTGTAGACGCTGCTCCAATCCATCAGTCAATCTCACGCTCCATTCTTCCCTCACTCGTGAACAAAACCCTGAGATACTTGAACTCCTCCACTTGAGGCAGAACCTCACCCTCGACCTGAAAAGAACAATCCACCCTTTTTCTGGTTGAGGACCATGGCCTCAGATTTGGAGGTGCTGATTCTCATCCCAGCTGCTCCACACTCGGCTGCAAACTGATCCAGTGAGAGCTGAAGAATATGGCACGATGATGCCAACAGGACCAAATGATCTGCAAAAAGCAGAGATGGAATCCTGAGGCCACAGGACTGGACTCCCTCCACCCCCTGGCTGCATAGAGAAATTCTCTCCATAAAAGTTATGAACAGAATTGTGACAATGGGCAGCCCTGGAGGAGTCCAACTCCCACCCTGAAGGGGTCCGACTAACAACCAACAATGCGAACCAAACTCTCGCACCGCTTGTATAGGGACTGAACATCCTGTAACAACGGGCCCCCAATCCCATACTCATGGAGCACCCCCCCACAGTGTACCTTGAGGAACACGGTCAAATGCCTTCTCCAAGTCCACAAAACACATGTCCACTGGATGGGCAAACTCTCATGACCCCTCGAGGACCCTAGTGAGGGTAAAGAGCTGGTCCAGTGTTCCACGGCCAGGTCGGAACCTGCATTGTTCCTCCTGGATCTGAGGTTCAACCAACTATCTGTAACTGTGTTTTCTCATCAATTGAATTGTGGTTACTTTTTTGGTTGCTTCATATGACCATTGTTATTGTTTAATGTCTTTTTACTGTTTATTCACTGTTGTCTTGCAGCAAGAAGGTCTTGGGTTCAACTCCAGGCTCAGGCCTTTGAGGAGTTTGTATGGGTTTTCATTAATCACTCTGGTTTTCTCCCAAAGACCAAAACCCAGAATGTTAAATGGTGACTTTAAATTGATTTTAAGTTTGTGCATGGTTGTTCATCTTTATGTGGCCCTATGATGGACTGGTTACCTGTCCAGGATGTAACTCCCCTCAACTCATTCCCTGTTGTTCATTGACCACTAGAGAAAGGCGCCAGCTCCCCATGACCCTGAACAGAACAAAGCAATATACAGTCAACGCTCCAGGGATAGCAGAATGCCCAAACAGCATTTTGCCCTCTATAATGCTCGACAAGACATGATGATAAACCTATTACAGCAAATGTTTGTCCACCGTTTACACAAAATGCATGATAAAATGTAGGTTTAAGCAAAACAGGAGTATTACTGTATTATTCTGAATTGATGACACAGCACACGTACAGTTTTGATGTATAAATTGTAAGGAGTAGTAGCACCTAGCAACATGGCAGCCACAAATCTAGCCTAGCACTATCAGTGGGAATTAACCTTTTTACAGATACCAATGTGCATTTGTAAATTCTGGCACTTTATGTCCAAATACATTCATAGCTACTTCCAGTAGTTATGACAAAATATATTAGTAGTAGAATACCAACTGTTGATAAAAGTGAACGCAAAGTGAGAATACTTTCTCATAATTTTTCATTGGATAAGAAGGTCATAGTCAGTGACAGTAGCCAATATGCACAAACGAATAAATAATAAAAATAATAATAATAATAATAATAATAAACTTGGTGGTGGACACCCTGGGTTAGGGAGATTGTCAAGCTGAAGAAGGAGTCCTATCGGGTCTTGTTGGCCAGTGGGACTCCGAAGGCAGCTAAGGAGTACCGGAGGGCTAAACGGCCCTCTGCCATGGCTGTTTGAGGCAAAAACTCGGATGTGAGAGGAGTTAAGTAAGGCCTTGGATAGAGACTCTCGATCGGCTCCGAGGATATTCTGGCAAACAGGTGGCTGAGGAGGGGAAAGCAGCACTTTACCAACACTGTGGTCACTGAAGGTGAGGTGCTGTTGACTTTAACCAGTGATGTTGTCAGGAGGTGGAAGGAATACTTCTCTGACCTTCTCAATCCTACCAGCACATCTTCCATGGAGCAAGCGGAGTCATGGGAGTTCAGGGTTGGTCTGTCTATAACCATGGCTGAGGTTGCCGAAGTAGTAAAAAAAAACTGAGGCGGCAGGACTCAGGGAGTGGATGAGATTCACCCTGATTTCCTTAAGGCTCTGGATGTTGTGGTGCTGTCTTGGCTGACATGCTTTTGCAACGTTGTGTGGACATTGGAGGCAGTGCCACTGGATTGGCAGACTGGGGTGATGGTTCCCCTCTTCGAAAAGGGGAACTGGATGTTGTGCTTCAATTATAGGGGCATCACTCTCCTTAGACTCCCTGGTAAGGTCTATTCAGGGGTACTGGAGAAGTGATTCCGATCGTTGGTCAAACCTCAGATCCAGGAGGAACAATGTGGGTTCCATCCTGGCTGTGAAACACTGGGCCAACTCTTTACCCTCACTAGGGTCCTCGAGAGGTCATGGGAGTTTGCTCATCCAGTCTACGTGTTTTGTGGACTTGGAGAAGGCATTCGACCGTGTTCCTTGGGGTACACTGTGGGGGGTGCTCCATGAGTATGGGATTGGAGGCCCGTTGTTACGGACTGTTCAGTCCCTATACAAGCAGTGCAACAATTTGGGTCACATTGCCGGCAGTAAGTCGGACCCCTTCAGGGTGGGAGTTGGACTCCGCCAGGGCTGTCCATTGTCATAGATTATGTTCATAAATTTTATGGACAGAATTTCTCGGTGCAGCCAGTTGGTGGAGGGTTTCTGGTTCAGTGGCCTCAGGATTCCATCTCTGCTCTTTGCAGATGATGTGGTCTTGTTGGCATCATCGTGCCATAATCTTCAACTCTCACTGGAGCGGTTTGCAGTTGAGTGTGAAGCAGCTGGAATGAGAATCAGCACCTCCAAATCTAAGGCCATAGTCCTCAACCTGAAAAGGGTGGATTGCTCTCTTCAGATCGAAGGTGAGGTTCTGCCTCAAGAGGAGGAGTTCAAGTATCTCGGGGTTTTGTTCACAAGTGAGGGAAGAATGGAGCGTGAGATTGATGGATGGATTGGTGTAGCATCTGCAGTATTGCAGACTCTGTACCAGTCTGTTGTGGTAAAGAAAGAGCTGAGCTGTAAGACAAAGCTCTCAGTTTACCGGTTGGTCTACGTTCCTACCCTCACCTATGCTCACGAGCTCTAGGTAGTGACTGAAAAAATGAGATCACGGATACAGGCGGTTGAAATGAGTTTCCTCCGCAGGGTAGCTGGACTCTCCCTTAGAGGTAGGTTGA